AAAGGAAGTGGCCTGTACCCACTAAAGCCATAATACCCGGTACCGTTACGTCCACGGGGGGTACAAAATTGTCTCCTCTTCTTCCGCGTTACCGAGAGACACTTTGTACCGCGGCCTGGATGCTGCGCAACTTTCTTTGCAGCTCAGCCTGGGCTCAGCTAACTTCGCAGGATTTTCGCATTAGCATATCGACTTATTCATACACCCCGCTTGACTTCGTTCTCGCGGCATTCTTCGGGCTGCGTCGGTGCGCATGATGTAGCGCACGTCGAACGTGTACATCTCGACCCCTCAGAAATTCTCTACGACACGTCCGTGTGAATTGATTTTATAACGTGGATAGCGGAACGATATATTGCAGCTTGCAAAGTGGATTTTCATAATGCAGCATCATTATTCCATATAGCTTCATGTAGACCGAAGCATCTAGACTGCAACATTAAGTATTTGTCAACCGTATTTATATGTTTCACAATGGATATAGAAGATCTCATATTGGAAACAGACAAATGACAAAAATTGATAATTTGAGTTGCACAATCGCGTCTGGCATTCTTCGCTTCGCGCAGTTTGTACAAATAATATGAATAGTCACCTAGAATAACAAGATTTCGCTTTCGCATCGTAATTACATTTGCATGCACTCAGTAGACCGCTAACTGAATTTTCGCTAACCAAATGATTTAGTCGGAATAATCATGTTAACCGTTTTACTTCAATTAGCGTTCGTTTGCGTCAACTATCAAACCGAAATATAATATGCATATGTATTGAAACTCAATTATTATCCTTTTCCTCAGTTTTAAAATATTGTATTTGAGTCCTATATATAAGGCCCTATATATTAAGCCCTCTATATAGTCTCTTTTTGCTTTATCGATTTTTATCTATTACAAAATTTATAAATTCTGTCATAAAATTTTCCACGTTACGGTTTTATTTCATAAAGTTTGAAGTTCGTAAGATTTGTAAGATTCATATGAGATCAAGAAATATTACGAAGAGATATTAAAAATGTATATTAATAATATTAATAATATATTGAACATTCATATATTATTAAATATTTTAATATGTAATAAATGAAAGACTTTGGAAATCAATTTGCTAAAATCAAGAATTCTTATAACATTTTTCTCAAACCTCTTACAACATTCGTAAATTATTTTCCAGTGATGTATCATAAGATGATATTTCCAATAATTAATTTCGAATATAATATGCATAATTTTAATATCACATTTTCTTATGAATATTACGAACGTTTTATCTGACATTTTTTTATTAGTATCTCAGTGCACTCATTGATAAGCGGAGCAAAGAGCTCGATAATCGCGAGAAATCCGCCAGAAGATTTGCCGCGAATCGAAGAGGCTTATTGGCTTTGCCAAAAGGAAGGGCAAGTAAGGCGGTGCGTTTTATTTGACGTTTCGAAAAAAAAAAGGAAAAGAAAAGAATGGGGCGGTGCTTCTTCATAATTCAGCTGGTACCTCTGCGAAAGTGCCGTAAAGTCCGACTTGGAGCATCCGTTTTTCTCCCTTCCAGGCCCTGCCCTGTCGCGCGGCCTAAAAATTTTTCATAGCCGCCATAAAGCGGGCGGCGCGCCTAGGGTTACGAGAAATATCGAGGGCTGACGCTTCCTCGCCTTTTCGTGGCGAGCGAGTACCTAACTCGGATTGCGAGGAGAGAAAGAGAGAGAGGGAGGAGGAAAGAAAGAGAGAGGGAGAGAGCGCAGCCACAGCGGCCGTGGATGGATCATAGGAGTCGTGCGGCACGACTTTGGAGCAACTCCGACCGAGTGGAGCCGAGACCAGCCGAGCGGCGCCGAGCACGACTGAACGCGGCAACGCGCGTCAGAGGGTAACAGTCGTGCCGCGGCCTCCGATGAGGGAGGTCTTGCGCAATCGTCGTTCGTTGTCGCTCAGTAAATCGAGTCCGGTCGACAGCGTCGCGACGCGCATTCCTTTTTGTTCTCGGTGTTTCCAACGCTCGATCAACTGTTCGAACATGTTGTGATAGATGCACGGACGTGTGTCGCCAACGCGGTTGCGATTACTCCCTGGCACCGCGAAGATGTACTTGCGATAGGGAACAGCAGCTCCGTGGACTCTGAGATCGCGGCTCCGTCGACTCCGAGCAACAGATGTGACCATCGTACGCGTCTCGTTCTTTATATTTAGTTAATCAAGATTTTCTCAGTTGGTAATTCACACACAACCGCTCCGATTCGAATTCTCCGCATTGTTGCGCCCTTCGTCAAGAATCATAATAACATATATTTTGGAAACTGCTGACAGAAAAAACGATTAAAATAGACCAACTGATAGATAACGATGATCAGATGTTCAAGGAGATAAGGGAATGTAGAATCTGCGCTCGCGCTATTAATCCAAGACGTCG